CTGATAGAGAACTTTCTCCTTCAGGCCCCTCCTCTGCTGAGCCCTGATTGGGCAAAGTCTTGCACCTGACCTGTGACTTTAACAAATCAGAGCTTCAGTGGGCATTTTGCATTATGGAATGTCCGCGGTCGAACAAACTGCGAACATCCCATAAAGTTTGGCGTTCGGCGAGCGCTCGAACTGCCGATGTTCGAATCGAACACTCGGCTCATCCCTAGTAATGATGGCATCCAAATTTAGGTGGAGGTATGCTGTTAACGAGAGATATCAAAATCTCATCATGACCAATTCATTGTGTAAGAAAACAAGAATAGGAGAGCCATCAAAGCAACGAATCTGTACACTGCGGCAGGTTTTCCAGCATGATGAAATGGTTTTGGTATGTACTTTGGGTAAGTAGTAACTGTCAATAAAGGGGAGCGAGATTCTTATCTAATAATTTTATGACCCTTTAAATCTTGGAGCACGGGCTATTATTAGACCTTTGGCCGTTACCCGCAACATGCTTGCGTCCGTCCGATATTTATCTCCGGAGTCCCATGTTCACTGGTTGCTCCGCATAATATTTCACGATCCGTATTTATTTCGTCCCCCGTTCTCACAGTGCTAGGAAACCACAACAATGTAGATGTCGTATTGCTCCCCAGCCTCTGCCCGCCACAGACCCCCATCCTGATTTATGGGGGGAATTTTCCTGCCTCTCTGTTTGGAGAAGATTTTTGCTGCTGACTAAACTGTTCACCACCTGCACTCGCTGTAAATCTCGGGCAAGAACAAAGCAGATGGTGACGCCCGGCCCAATAATGCCGATGCAGCACCCACGCTAAGAAAATGTTTAGCAAAACCGCTGACCCGACGCCGGGGCGAGGAAGTCACTTAGTCTTGAAATTCTGGGCTGTGTTTTATCACTCAGAGATCTCAACCATAAAATAGCGATGGAGGAGTGCAGGGCTGGGTAATCTGCGCCGCTCATCTGGACTTGTAGCTCTCCTAGCTGTACACAGACCTGGCCACGGCGGCCACACTGCATCCTGCGGAACATGGCAACTCCATAACTGGAGGGTGCTTATTTCATATGATTGCAACATGAGCAAACAGTGTGGCCTAGATGTGGGGAACACAAATAGAATTGTGGGGTCCATCACTAGAGGGATCACCAGGAGGAAGGAGGTCCTGATTCCTCTATATAGATCTTTATTATCACTAGAGGGATCTCCAGCAGGAGAAAGGAGGTCCTGATCCCTCTATATAGATCTTTATTATCACTAGAGGGATCCCCAGCAGGAGGAAGGAGGTCCTGATTCCTCTATATAGATCTTTATTATGACTAGAGGGATCCCCAGCAGGAGGAAGGAGGTCCTGATTCCTCTATATAATTATTTAAATAGACCTCATGTAGAATACTGTGTCCAGTTCTGGAGATCTCACTTACAGAAAGATATTGATAGGATAGAACAAGTCCAGAGACGGGCAATGCAGATTTTGAAAGGTCTGAGCGATAAAACATATCTGGAGAGACTGCAGGAACTTAATATGTCCGTTCTGAAGGAAAGAAGGGAAAGCAAGGACAAACACATGAAGGGTGTGAAATAGGGGCTAACGTGAAGTCCAGTGATTAATAAAAGGCTCACCTGAAGGCTTCGATGATGTAGGAGGTGACCTGCGAGCTCCCGGTTAGTGGGTTGGGATTCCATGTCAGAGTGATGCTGTTCTTGGTGACGTCGGTGACCAGGGGCTTGGACGGGGCGCTAGGAAGCAGGCTTGGCTCTGAAGGCTGAACATTAACCGGGGATCCTTTTTCTTCATGGGGAAAAAATAAGAAATGGAAATGACAATTACTAGAAATCTATCAGCCGCCATCACAGTGTAGTATTCATTATCTCTCCTTCTCGGGGATGTAAGACAGGCTCAATAGCTATATGTGGCAACCACCTGCTTACCTTGGACATCCAGGAATACAGCCCACGTGGTCTCTCCGGTTGAACTCGTTGCTACACAGGTGTACAATCCGGAATCAGTTACCTGAAACACAACAGACATCATATTAATGGTGAATGTTACACACACAGGGCCGGAGCCATCCTCGGAGTCAGGCAAGCAGTGCACCTGGCGCCCACTTCCTGCAGCCTGTGTTCCCTCACTGCTGTCTCCTATGATGGTGTTACTTGAATCTCCCCCTTCCTGGCCATTTATATATTTCCCCGTGTCATATCGGCTGGGTGGGTTTTAGCCAATTTCCTCTGAATATGCAGTGATAAAATTAGATTATTTGTAACATTGCTGCAAGAATTACTCCAGGAAGCTGGAAGATTGCAGATGTCCGGGAGCCCGTATATGGTGGGGTGATTTGTTCATGCTGGACATTGATTTGGTTACCAAATGGCTCTTTCAGTGGTGTAGAAATGACAGGCACTCTTTGAGAGAACCTGGGGAGGTCACGGAAAATAAAGGTGAGTATGCTGACAGCGATGTTGTATGGCCACACCCCCTAAAGGGGAGGAGAGGGGGCGTGTCTGACCAGGTCGGATCAATTATAGAGTGCACTGGAAAGTGTGGTCATGCTGTTTGGGAGTAGATGGGTGTTGGTTGTAAAATGCAATATCTTTATTTTTGTGACTTCAAACTATATTAGGAAATGTTTTGGAAGAGTTTGTGATCACTTAGGCCTCATTCACAGGTCCTCGTACAGTAAAAATCTGCCAGATCTCTGTGCCTGGGAGCCTCAGGTGTTTCGTGCAGCCCACCTGTATGGACAAGCAGGGGATGGAGACAAGACCAGTCACCGTGTACAAGGAGAGAGAGCAGCAGTGACCAGTCTTTATTACAGGAGGGGGCGGAGACAAGACCAGTCACCCTGCACAAGGAGAGAGAACAACAGTGACCAGTCTTTATTATAGGAGGGGGCGGAGACAAGACCAGTCACCCTGCACAAGGAGAGAGAACAACAGTGACCAGTCTTTATTACAGGAAGGGGGCGGAGACAAGACCAGTCACCCTGTACAAGGAGAGAGAACAACAGTGACCAGTCTTTATTATAGGAGGGGGCGGAGACAAGACCAGTCACCCTGTACAAGGAGAGAGAACAACAGTGACCAGTCTTTATTATAGGAGGGGGCGGAGACAAGACCAGTCACCCTGTACAAGGAGACAGACCAGCAGTGACCGGTCTTTATCGCGGGAAGCTCCTCACACGGGATTACTGCACAGACCTGGAAGAAATACACAAAGCTCACAGAGAATACACATGACTCATGTATGAGGACAATGTATGCTGGAGATCCCGGAGTTCAGCTTTAAAGGCAATAACTTCTGGTTATTAAGTAAAAGGATGAGGTACGAGGCACAGGGCAGCTCCTGCCATTTACCAGCCTGGCTCCCAGTTACAGCAGGCAGTGAGGCGGGGCTCCTCCGGGGGCCACATTAACTCATAGCGCTCCTCATCCCACATGACATGTCTTATTTTTCTTTCCTGGGCAGAATGAAATGACGCTATTAGCTGCGCAGGACACGGGAGTTGCATTAACCTTCCGGCTCCGACACAAGGAAAGAACAGAAAGAACGTTGGAGGTTCTCCGCTCCCCGCTGAATTTCCGCATCAATTTTTTAAGCAAATATTTAGCGTGCGAGCCGTGTTGCTTAAGTTATTCATGAGCAACCTCCACTTTACCCTGCCATGTGATGCCACCGCGCTGCACGGCAACTGGAGCTCAGAGGCAGCGCTCCGTTCCCGGAATACACGGCAACCTTGCCGCACGTTACACCCTGCGTCTGGAACACGCGACGACTTCTGCAAGTAACACCCCATGTCAGGAATACGCAGCGGTCTCTGCGCGTCACACCCTGCGTCTGGAATATGCAGCGGTCTCTGCGCGTCACACACTGCGTCTGGAATATGCAGCGGTCTCTGCGCGTCACACCCTGCGTCTGGAATACGCAGCGGTCTCTGCGCGTCACACCCTGCGTCTGGAATATGCAACGGTCTCCGGCGTCACACCCTGCGTCACACTGCCGGCGTCGCACCCTGCGTCTGGAATATGCAACGGTCTCTGCGCATCGCACTTTGTGTCTGGAATATGCAACGATCTCTGCGCGTCGCACCCTGCGTCCGGAATATGCAGCGGTCTCTGCGTGTCACACCCTGCGTATGGAATATGCAACGGTCTCCGGCGTCACACCCTGCGTCACACTGCCGGCGTTGCACCCTGCGTCTGGAATATGCAACGGTCTCTGCGCGTCGCACCTTGCGTCTGGAATATGCAACGATCTCTGCGCGTCACACCCTGCGTCTGGAATATGCAACGGTCTCCGGCGTCACACCCTGCCGGCGTTACACCCTGCGTCTGGAATATGCAACGATCTCTGCGCGTCGCACCCTGCGTCTGGAATATGCAGCGGTCTCTGCGCGTCGCACCCTGCGGCCGGAATATGCAACGGTCTCTGCCCGTCACACCCTGCCTCTGGAATATGCAGCGGTCTCTGCCCGTCACACCCTGCGTCTGGAATATGCCACGGTCTCTGCGCATCGCATCCTGCGTCCGGAATATGCAGCGGTCTCTGCGCGTCACACCCTGCGTCTGGAATATGCCACGGTCTCTGCACGTCGCACCCTGCGTCTGGAATATGCAGCGGTCTCTGCGCGTCACACCCTGCGTCTGGAATAGCCGATTACCTTCCTGTGTTTTCTGCCTCTGCTGAACTCTTATCAGTTCCCAGTACTACAAAATACCACCACCTATGTTATGGCAAAAGGAGAGGGGGATGTGTTCTGTAGTCCTGCCCTAGGGTGACAACACTGGTCCATCTTAGCTACAGCAAGTGCGCATTGTCACTCTAGGACAGGAAGTGCGTTACTGGCAGGATCAAAGGGGGAAAGAAGCCTGAAAAAAATCAGCCAAATGCAGCCACCTCATCTAAGCATGGCTAAGCTACACACAGTGGCATCACAAGGGAAGTGCGGCCCGCACCCGAGTGACACCATTCGAGGAATGACACCAAAATGGGTCATTTTGGTGTCACCCCCTATGAAAAGTAGGGTCACGGACCGAGAGCCCGACAGTGTCAGGAGAGAGGAGGGGACCTGGCGGCATACCTCATCCCACCGGGGTGAACGTCCCCTCCTCTCTCTCTGCCGGCGTCCACCACCAAGATGGCTGCCGGCAAGCATCAATGACGTCACGGCGGGGTGTCACCCGATGCCCCTGGATGCAATATGTAACATTTTTTATTTTTTTTTTACAAGCCTTACAACCGCAATGCAACATTTCCCATTTTGCTGACCGGCTTTACAAAATCCATTTTTAATAAAATTTTCAGCCAACAAATAAAAATCCCGGCGCTGCAAGACCGAACGTCGTATCATAGAGTGAGGATTGTATACTGAGTAATGCTATGGAGGGCTCGGCGGGCTCTAGGTATTGGGATTCCTCCCCCGCTCCGTTTTCGTCTCATTGGCAGCCCCCCCCCCGCCTCTTATTATGGAGGGTTTCCCATGTACAGTGCAGTGTGATCAGGGTCTGCACATTTCACCTCCCCTCTCCCTGTGTGTGTGTTATATCCCTCCGAGGTATAAGACATCAGACGCAGAGACAAGAGTACAGCTGACAAGTCCCGGGGACATTTCCCACTGAGACCGGCCTCTCTTCACCTGCTGATCCCATAATCCCCATTCTACGCGTTACTGATACATTGTAAACGGCCGGCTAAAGGTAAAGGATCCGTTTTCATTGGTGGAAACACATAAAAGGTGTCGCTTGGCATCATCATAAGTTTTGTTAAATGTGATTGTTACAAAATAACACGACAAAAATTCCAATGAGCTTTAAAAGAAAACAATGTTTCAGTCTTAAGGTCCCCACACACCTTACGATTATCGTACGATAATGGCGGGAAATCCCGCGATCGTACGATTATCGTAAGGTGTGTGGAAGCCGTGCGAACCCCCCCAAAAATGACCTTCACTGCTAGAATTATGTTCATTCGAGAAAAATTCTCCATCCCGCCCCTTCAATCTTTTTTGTCAATTCGTTCAAAAACGATCATCAATTTGACCCCAATAACTAGTAGAAAGTTGAGAGAACCTCCCGGAAAATACTTTTGTCAAATTAAATTCTACTGGTTTATGGGCAGCTTTAGACTTCTGATACTGAGCTTAGGGTAACGGGAGGACGCTAGTTTGTGTCCTCCCGTTACCCTTAGGAGAACTATGGGGAAAAGCCCTGACCCCATAGATATCCTTTAAAGCCGAAGGGGATTGTCGTGAGAAATACAAACGGGAGTCTTTCCTTTGTGTGTGTGCGGCCGCGGACTGTTGTAGCGCCCTTTGTATACACACACACACACATATGTACACACACATGTAGTGCACTATGAATACATGCATCTCTGACTTCCACGCACGGCTAGACTTGTGTGAACGCGGAGACGGATGGGGGCATATCGGGCACACATTACCTGTCTTGGGAAGAATAAGGAAAAACAAACAGATCTGCTCGTCAGCACAGCGAGATGAAACGAGCCGCTGTTTGAACAAGAGCTTTGATGAGCACAAAAGAGGCCGCGTATCGTGGAGGTGAAACATCAAACGCCCTCCTAAACATGACAGCGTGTTTGTAATTCGAGGTGGACAAGGTTCGAGGGAAGTTAGTAGATCTGAGGGAGGCGCAGCTTGTACAGCATTACACACATGAAACGGCCATTTATGAATACAGTATTTACTAAACAAACACAAGGGGGGGGGATCACCTGCGCTGTGCAAGGAAAGGGACGCCGCGGTGTAAGACTTCGTGAGCCTCTAGGTAGGGCGATGTACGTGAAGACCCACAACCTATCACGGGCAGAACCTTAGAAGGTCTATGGAGCTTTAAAGGAGAACTATGAGGGGGGGGGGGGGGGGGTTTTTCCCCCCCCCCATAT